GACACAGATGCAGACTAGAAAGCAAAAACATTCTAAAGAAATAAAATCAAAATGAATCCAGGGATCTTTGTATCATGTACGCAAATAAAATAATGGCACCACGGACTAAAAGCAGACTGTGTAACTCTGATACAAAGATTTTTGAATCCTTCAAACAGCAGGCAGACCCAGGCACACAGGTGAAACCAGATGCAGTTGCGGCAGTCGCGGTCGGAGACTTTAACCACGCAGCCAAGCCTTAAGTGCCAGGGCAGAGCACTCACTTTCCCAGGAAATCCCACACCATGCCCCCTATCTGCTGGGGAGCAGTGGACACAGAAGGGAGCGGGTCAGGGGGAGCTCTGCCACCGGGACGAGGGGTGGGGCGGGGGGCAGGGGGAGGGGGGCTGGTGTCAAAACAGAGAAAGATTTGCAAGGGAGATGAAGAAAAGATTTTGAAAAATCAGAATCAGATTTCAGAACAGAAGAGAAGTAGGTTGAAAGTTGATTCATGGCCAGGGGTAAAGAGAGGGGCAGGTGAGCATGGTACAGAAGAGAGAGAGGGAAGTGGGACGGAGAAAAGTGGGTAAAGATGGCAAAAAAAGGACAAGAAGACGCAATTAATCAAACACCACTAACAAAGTATCACGACATTAATCCTATAATGATCTGAGAAGGGAGTATATAAGTGTCTTTAACACTAAGCAGTGGCAGGGGAGAAGGGCTGTGTGGTCCTCATGCAGATCAACCAATCCCTATGTTAGTCTCATCCGTCTGAATCCTGTCCAGGTAAACGACGATGATCTCCTTCATTAGACAAACCAAAGTGCAAATAAACTTGCAGTACTGCTCCCAGGAGAGAACCAGAGAGGCCACCTGCTTTATTTCTGCACTCCATTAACTGGACTCAGATGACCTCTTCCGAAAGAGAAGTGGCTGAGGGGAGCGTTGCTGATATTTATAAACAAAACCTGAACATGTAAATCAAAACTGTGTGTACAGAGCACATTATCCAATACCATCGAGTGCAGTGCAGTATGAGAACATCACAACTGAACATAACATGGAAACACTATGAAAATGTGCACAGAGCCACATGGACATTTGCCCAGCATACACCGAACACAGAGAACTGTAAAGCTGACAAACAGATGCATCCAGATCAAGAATAGACTGCTCAGAGCTACTCAGCACAAACAGTGGCACACTGTATTGCTTATGGTAATACCATTAGAGAGTTGGGTAACCTAAATTACAAAATAAACTGATTTATCTGAAGATAAATGGGGTTTTGTTTGCGATATAGAGAGTAGCAGATTTAAAACCATCTCTTTATGCCGGGTTACTTGTTATGATGTGAAACAAGCCACAGAAAAAAATTTATTTTTTTGTATCATACACAACGTTTTGAGCATTTTGGCCTTGGCCATTTTTTTCTTTCTTTCTTTTTTAGTAACATAAAGGGGGACTTCCACTTTTCACGTATAATTTTACTTCCAGCAGACCTGTTCTCTATTTGGGACGCTAATTTACAAAATTGATCTCATGTTGTATCTTATATGAGCTAAAACTAATAAAACAGACAATAAACTCATAAAGAAAATGTCATTTTCATGAGGCCCTTTTCTCATGCAGTCCTTTATAAATGGATTTCTTTTTGAATTGGCCAACAGAAAGAATGGTGATTTAAGAAACACCTTTATTAGTGTCCTAAACCTGCTACATCCATCTTTTATATATACAGTCTATGATCATACATGAAATAAACACACCGTATGTATGTATTAATAAGTTTGTTTTTCCTTTTCTTTACTTGTTTTCTCCCATTTTTTGTGTTTTTATATTCCCTATATTTATATTGTATATAAATATATTGAAGCTAAGTGGAGAGCTAAAACATAAACAAAGAGTGGATGTATCAGGCATTTTCAGGCAAACATGTTAAATTACCTAAGAGGTTTGCTAAAATTGCAGGCAGGTATGCTAATTTTATCTTCATAGATGTAACAATGGTCATAGAAAACAGAGTGTTTGTTAAAAGGGAAGGATTAAAGCAGTGCAGGCTAATATGCAGTCAGAATTAGTTACCTTTCCAACTCAGCAATTTTCTTGTCCTTATCATTCTTTTCGGTTTCCACCTCTCGCAGGATGTCCAGCAGTCTCTCCACCTCTGTTTGAGCCTTATTAGCTTCATCCTTGTAGTAGCTCACTTCCTTTTCCAGCAGTTTCACCCGGTCCACATACTCTGGGTTCCCTCTGGAGCCCGACTGCTGCTCCACTTCATGGGCTTTCTGCATCAACATGCCAAGAAATGACAAATACAAACATGTACACGCCCAAAAACACACAGTTAACAAAAATAACAACCCAGCTTCAACAAAAGTGTGAAGCGCAGAACGTTTTACTGTCAATGAAAGAGAGATACATACAGTACACTGTAGTCCATCAGTGACTTATATTATCTACGTCTCTTGCAGTGTCCCTGTACTTTCAAATGAATAAAGCCGAGGCAAATGTTGTGGATGAGGGCTTCATTACTGGTACTGGCTCATTAGTTTTAACAAAGCTATTATTTAGCTCCAATTAAATGGTCCATTGAGACTCACTTCATGCACATGGAGTAGAATACAGGACTTCAGGATAGTCTGTGAGAGTTTTGTATGTCTGTGACAATAATAACAAATCTTTATAGTTAAGCACTAAATTGATTCACTGGCTATCAAAATCAGAGGTCTAGTTTTTGGACAGCAAGGACATCTCTCCACTACAGTGGTACACAGCACCCTGGACAATACACAGCCACATATGTTAACACATATCGCAGAGTTACACAGAGCCATCCACCAAAACACTGCAGTGATCTTCAACCACGGCCGATACCTTCGCTAACAGCACCACACTGAGACAAAAGAGAAGCGTGGCAACACTGATACTGACAACATGCACAAAGGTCGACCAAGTCATGCAAACCCAATGAAGCTGCACAGTCTTTGCAATTGTCAGTCCAAAGAATGAAGAAAGAGAAGCAAGGGTGACCAAGTAAATCTGTTCTAACTGTCATATTTTATGCATGAGGAACGATGCTAGAGTTTAGCTTAGAGGAGATATACATAATTTTATTTAAGACCCAATAATCCTAGTTGAAATTTATGAAAAATAACTACAACAGACAGTTATTGGACAACAAATTGCCCTCCATATGGCCCCTGCAAATATTGCAATGAACAGTATACTACAGAAGAGCATTTATAGGAGGCTATAGGAAGGAAGCACTTGATGATTTGAGGATTTTGCAGTTCAATTACTTTATTTATTTGAATGCATTCTGTGTATTTATTCTGTTTTCCTTATCTATAACATTTGTTTAAGAACCTCTGAAATTGCCAAGATTCACAAACTACACAAAAGTGGATCAAGTTGGGGGGATGTCAATATTATAATTCACTGTCAAATAGTTTGATATTTTTTGAGGATTTTCACAGAGATGCTAAAACACACTGAACTGAAATTCTGTGCTAAAAATGTAATATTTAGACATAATTCAATGACAAATATGTATTAAAGAAAGGTTTGTTCACTCTGTTTGCCTCTTTTAATTTTTTTCACTGGTTATAAGTGCACCAAATATGAGGAAACTTGAATGCTATGTCCTGTGACTTCAATTGCATAAAGTCTCTGAAAGTCCAATGAAAAGTTTACTATTAATTTGTCATATTCCCCACATGAGCTTCTATGACAAAACACACGTGTGCTGCATTTGAGGTCAGTGTAACCTGTACAATTCAGTGAATGTATGGGTTCCTGTTGCCACACAACTTCCCAGATGAGGCCTTAGTGACTAAAAACATTACCATTAAATTTAGCTATAGATACAAAATTTTACATAAATGTAAAATTTGTTACATTTAAATGTTTTTTTGTGCTGTGGAAGAATATGACAGTTTATTAAGTATAACCACCGAAAAAACTATCTACAAAGCCAAAACTTAAAAAAACAACAACAACTTCACACATAGTTAAAGCTAATGCAGTCTAACAGTCCTGCAATTAATCCCAGGTGTGTCCTTACATGACACAGTGTAATGAGGCTATACTAAATCATAGGAAGACTTTTACATGTAAAATGTAATTAAAACAAAGGGCAATAAACAGCTGTATAAAATTAACCCTCATAAAGACAGAATTTATTGCAAGATTGTTGTTTTAGTTTGAGCTACATATACTTAATAAAATGGCAGAAGAATCTATATTGAGCACGTTCCAGCAGACTAAGTAAGCCTTCGGTTCTACATATATGCAGCACCAGTTTCACCACATATCACCAACAGTTACAGGATGAGCACAGTGCACAGGACTCTGACTGCAGCTCATTATATCAGTACAGTGCAATGAACAACATGCATCCTGGGTGGGTGAAAGCAGGACCTGTGCTGGGGTTTGGCACGATCACCATCTAGCATATTTCAAGGAAGTTATCAGTGTCCTCATGCTTTCAATATGTGCCTCAGAGAGCTCAGGAGAGGGACTTACAGGAGTGTTCATGTGACTGAATAGCTGCTCAGCTTGCTACATTGCAAACAGAGGGTTTGAGGAAGGAACAGGAGGGAGACGGGGGAGTCCCGGGAGAGTAAATGTCAGGATTGAGTTTGAGCCAAAGAGAGAACAGCAGGATCAGACATGGTACAATACATGTTTGACAGATAAGTAACATAGTACACATGTTGTTAGGCTAACGGCAACACAACAGAGACAAACACAGAGGAAGAGATGATACAGCGATAGTCTCAAGAAGGAGAAGAAGAAGGCAAAGAGGGATATTTAATGACTGCCTGCTACTTGCAACACCCTTAAAAAGCATGGCTGCCTGTTACAGGAGACAAAGCACGATGGCAGCCATTAGCCTAATGAAGTGTGCTTTATATAAGGTCTGTTCACATTTCTTGTTCAGGTCCAAAGAAACAGCCTAATGAAGGATAACATGTTCTCAGAAGTGAGACCTCGGTTTTCTTGTTTCTTTACTGCTACTTTAATTTTTAAATGGGACAGAACTGTCTTCACTAAATAATCTGTGATCATACTTAATCTTCCCTCAATGACACAGGCCAAGATCAGACCAGCAGGAAAATATGAACTGCACGTTAATTTGGCCAATCATTTCTACAAAAGGAAAGTAGCCTTTTTTTCTTATGTCTGTAACTGCTTAACAGTCTCCACTGAAGTGGTCCCTGAATTCACAATGAGCTCATTCCTTTCTTCGCAGTGGACACTCAGCTCTGGCTTCTTATCTACAATTCAGTGCAATTAAAGAGAGACATTGCTGCAGTCTTCATTCAGAGTACAGAAGCTCTCTGCAATTCAGACAAAGAGACATCCATAGAAAATGTTGCCGTACTGACTGCTAAAATGGTCAGCTTTCATCCAGACATTTCTGAAATCATCAGCGGAAAGTCATCATTTATATATGACCTTCAGTAAGAGTAGCATTAGGCTCATTTTTAAGTTCTTTCTTCACAGTGGATCACTGATAGCAAAACAGTGTTAACCAGTGTTAAAGTCCAGAACATGGCTGCTGTCGAGCTGTTAAACACAGGTTTCCTGAGCACATGAAATTGCTTAACTTTATATAGAGATTGAATAGTACAATCAAAAGCTTAGCAGCAGCTCCAACATGAAACTTGTTGCGGTGTCGTTTTCCCAACACGTGCAAACTTGTATGAGTCTGTGTGGTGTAATGCTAGCTTTACTACACTGTTTGACCCCAATTCAGGATTTCCGACTTTTCCACCTTTACTTGATTTCCCTCTAACTGAAGCACAACAGATCTTTCAAACCAAAAAAACTGGATAATTAGGATTGGCTGCAAAAAGTAACTGTGTAAAAATGAGCATTAGATAAGCCGTCTTTTAATATAGATGGCTGTGGGAACCATAATCTGTAATTACTTCTTTCAAAATAACCTGCTGAAAAATTCTCTACAGGTTAAAAACTGTGAATTGCTCGTCTCTTAAAATCTAAATTAAACTTTTGCATTATAGTGTGCGAGGTGATTCGGTGGTGAGAGATGCACACCTACCTTCTGTAACTGTGTCTCCAACTTACTACATTCCTCTTTTTTCTGCTCAATTGCAATCTCCAGTGACTTGAGCTTTGAATCCTTCTTGAGGCCAGAGGATGCCAGGGATGATGCGTGTTCTTTCAGATCGATGAGACTGGACTGCAGGTGAGTAGTCAGGACAGACGGTTAGCAGCGCTTCAAACCAGGCAGGCCAGCAGAGTGCCAGCATGTGCAACAAAGTTACAGCACCTGAGGCGACTGCTTAAATGGCACCTAAAGCCCTACTGAAAGATAGTGTTTCAATATTTGCTGTGCATAAAAAAGGTGCATGCTCTGCAGCAAAGAGAAGGACACAGTCATGTGTACACAGCCCTGTAGCCTTATAGAGAAAATCTCTTTGCTCACTGACCTCCTTTTCTGTTAGTTCTATCTGCAGGCTGTTCACCTTCTCCTTCAATTCCTTGTTCTCTTTCTTATATGATTCCACTTCTTCCAGTCGTTCTCTGTCTTCTCTCTCCCTTTGGTCCTTCAAACGCTCAATAATCCTCTCCTAACACACAGAAGCACAAAGATTTAAAACTCTTCATATGACTGAACGGTTAAGAGTCTATATAAACATTAAACTGCTGAGATGTTCATTTAAGATTGTTCCAGCTCAAATCAGAGATTTGTATCAGTTCATTCCTTTTAAAAAACAAATGTCTCTAGTTATGTGAAATTAATATCACACATGAAAAATACAGTTATTATGAAATTAGACTAAAATTAAGCTAAAATGCTGAATCAAGCTAGATGCCGTGCCTGGAATTTTACCCCAGTGCTACTTTGTTATTTTTTCCTTGTATGTTTTTATAAGTAAAGATGTAATCATCAAAATCTGGTTACCTAAAAATTGAATAAAACACTAGTGCAGGAAAGAAATAATGATATCTAATGCAGCTAGAGGATTGCATCAGCTATTTCCTCAATTATACATAAATCTATGAACTGTAATAGAGTTACTACTGATATTTGGTGAGGTTCCACGATTTTTAGGAGGATTAAGAAAAGTCAAACCCGATGGAGCTTTTTAAAGCACCATGATGGGCTTCACAAACAGCCTTAGTGCAGAGCAGGGCACAGTCGCCCTGCTGCGACATGTGCCTTCATCTCTCTTCTTTGATATCAAGGAATGTAATAACAGAATGTAATAATAAATGTTTTAATATTTTATACTATTCACACTTCTTTCTGCACAAGTACAAATCTGATCTCGTCACAATTTCAGAAGTTCTGTACAATCACTCCACAGCAACTAGACGCAACTTGTAGTTGTTTAAAAAAAGAAGAAGAAGAAACAGAAAACAAGAATTTTTACTAACATGGTTCATTTAGAGGAAAGGTTTAACATATGTGGGAATTTCACCAGTTACCAGCTGACTAAGCTTAATATGAAGTCTGGAAATAAGAGGAAGCATTTCTGTTTGTGTCTCTTTAAATTCCCCTTATGAGGAACTCTAAAGTTCAAGTATCTATGACAACACCGAAGCTTACATTATTCTCTTTAAAGAGTGTAACTTTTACTAAATTAAATAAATAAATGTGTATTTATCTTCTCTTTTTCCTCACCCCCAGTCACAGCAGATAGCTTCTCTCTAATATTAGCGTACAATATAAAGCACTTTGAGGTGATTGTTGTTGAATTGGCACTATATAAATAAAATTGAATCGAACTGAATTTAATTGAACTGATGGCGAACATGCTCCTTTTCTACTCTGTGTGGCACTTGCAGTGTGTTCAAGTTTCACTAGAGCCCAGAGAGAAAATGTTGCAGACAAGTTGGAGCCACCCATACAAACGCTGGCAATGTGCCAATCTGCTAGTGACCAAAACAACCACAAGGAGGTTTTTGGTGCAGCATCCTCTTTGTGATCAGTATCACTTAGCGACAGCCAGCAACCATTTACCAGTCGGTCAGGGAATACAAGTTTGCTTAGGACCGTGTTACTGCGACCTAACAGAGATATAAAACGTCAGGAAAAAAGTTTGCTAATCTCAATTTCTTGTCGATAATGACGCTAATGTTTGGTCCTTGTGGTCTTCTTGAGAGCATACAAGAAAAAAAGAGGTCATTCACATCCTGGATTTTGAATGAATGATTGTCTGAAAAAGTCACCTGGAATTCCTTCCACTATATACATCCTTTTGATGATATGATAGTAACTACAAACAGATAAAGTGTCACAGTTCAGACAGTGTTACGGGTTCTGTGGTATAAGGGTGGCGTGATCTACCTTCTCTGACAGCGCCTCTTCCAGGGTGGCCAGGGCAGTGTCTGTGTTACTGGAGTCGGTCTGCAGAGACTTGACCCTGTCCTTGAGGTTCCCCAGCTGCTTGTCTTTGTCCCGCAGCTGCTCCTGCAGGTTCTCAATCTGACTCAGAAAAATAAGAAAAAACATGGAGCAAAACACACAATAAAAAGCACGATCTCCAAACCAGCGCAACATTTAAAGTCGGTATATCTGCCATTTTTTAATTCTCTGAAGCTTAACACACTACATAAGCAACACTGTGTACAATGTGAGAAGAAATACATCAAAAACTATAAGACCTTTAAGTTTTGAAAAGCAGAACTTAATGTAAACCTGAATATATACCAAACTGCTATCTGAGCAGTGCAGGACTGACCTGAATTAAGGTATTTTATTTATGATAAGACAGGAGAAAACAATGATTCATAATTAATAAAAATGATGAAACAGATAAAAGTGCAAAGATGAGAGAGAGAGAGAGAGGGGGGGGGTGATCAGACACAAGAGAAGAAAAACAAAACGGGAGAGCAGGTCTGGGTGCGATATGGAGTAACACTCTGTGAGTATTTATAGCACACACAAATGAGAGCCAGTGAGGCAGAAATATCTTCTTGCTTGTCTTTCTGTGGGCATTTTCCCCTGAGAGCATGAGACTCTCACACTTCATGGACAGAGTAACCTCCCAGCTTTATATTTCCACAGAGCGACTGGTTTAGTCCAGGACACGGAAATGTGACGAAACAACCCACACAGTCGCTGTTCATTTCAAATTTGTGACTAAATCTGGAGTAATTAGACATGCCTCCACAATACAGTGTGTTGTAGACAAAAAATAAGCAATAACTCAAAAGCAGAGTAATTGTGGCTAAAGTGTATTTCCTCCCTAATGTTTCTACATGGTGAGGTCTTCTTTCCTTCCATTCTCACCTTTTTCTGCAGGACATTAATCTTTCTTTCTTTGACCTCAAGCATGTCCTTCATGTCCCTGATTTCTCCGGCGAGAGTACCCTTCTCCTCCGTCAGGTCCTGCAGCTGCTTGGTTTTCTTGTTCAAGAAGGACTCTTTCTCCTCCAGACGTAGACGTAAAGCGTCAACCTAAAGCACATTAATACATGTCAGAGGAAGCACACAAAGTGGACTAATTATCCCAAGTGTACCATTATAGTTAAAAGCACTTTGATTTAATAACTTATAGTAACCCTAAAGTAAAAAAGGTGCTGGATGAGTATTTATTAGGGAAGTATTTTAATAATTCACCACAGTTATTTATTTATTACTGCAGATCTGTGATGTTTTCTGGTCTATGAGCTGTGACAGTACACTGGCCAACAGTTTTTCATTGGTAGTGACCTAGGTTGCACTTCACTTACTACAAAGCTTTCAAAGCAAACACTCTGCTGATATGATTTGCTGTAATAAGCCTCGGGCCCAGGGCGAGCCTATTGTTTGCTCAGTTTGGCTAGGAGCTTGAGAATGTTTGTGAAGCGATGTATTGTTAAGTTAATTTATTGTACGTGTACAAATAAGTTGAGCTTGTTTTATAACCTCCGTTTGCAGGATGGCAGCACGTTGCTCCTTGGCAGTGAGAGACTCTTTGAGCACCTCGATATGCTGTTTGCAGTCTGAGTTCTGGTTGTTGAGGGTCTCTAGCTTCGTCTGCAGAGCCAGCAGTTCTGACTCTTTCTTTGACAACTCCTGCTTCAACTGGTCAATCTGTACATGAGAGGAAGCAGATCATTTTGACCCAACCGTTACGTGAGCAGTGTAACGATTTCACGCTCACGAATGGGAACCGCGAGCTAGTCTGCACAGCTTTCGCACTATTTTCATCAACACGCTTCTCCCTCATTAAATATGCATTTGGGACTAACTCCCCTGCATTCATCATATATTATACATCATTTCTATTCATGATTGATGAAAAGAAGTCTAAAAATAGAAGAACAAAACTGTGGCGGGTCGCTTAATAGGGAGAGAAAATGTAAACACTCCAAAGACACGTACGTGAGCCCCAGAAAGTCACAGACACACACACCTTGACACTATCACAGGTTGTAGGTGGCTGTGCTTGAGTGTATGACTCTAACTCTGATATGCAAACACAACTTATCATCACAGACCGGTCGGAAAACAAGCAGCGGAAGTCAGTTCAACAAAAACAAAGCTTTCATTGTGGCTTATCTTATTTTAGACTTGTGTTTGTCTTGTGGCCACAGATTAATAAAGTGATGTACTTTTTATGTGTAATTAAGGAAGAAAAGTGTTTTCAAATGTTAAAGTATGCGTTTGCAAAGTTTGGATTTTTCCCCACTTTTGGCACGGAGCCTCTTTCAGATTTTTTGCCGACAGGGCACTTTGCTGTTCTCGCTATGTGTTAAAGCAGCTCATTTATGTAACACAACATTTTTCAGTACTCTCTCTTCTGCACAGCTCTGTACCCTGAACATCATGCCTGCCATTTTATATTAAGCCATACTTTAACAGCATCAGATCTGCATGCACAGTGCAGTTAGTCTCTACCTTCGTCTTCATAAACTTAGAGTGGTTCTTGTAGACCTCCATCTGTTTGATTTCCTCTTCTCTGTCCTCTGTGTTCAGTAAGCCGTTTGCCTTCAGCATTTGAATCTCATCCTCCAGATCCCGAATGTTGCGTTCCAGAGAGGCAATTTTGGTGTCCTGCACACAAACACGCGGAGGAGACACACCTCAAAACCAGGACTGGCATGTCCAAAAGTTGCATGCTGCAAATAAATCTGAGCTAAAGAAAAGAGTCCAGGAAACAAATGGAGGGTAAAAGATTTAAAGAGAAATACAGACACAGAGACTGAAAGGGGGGGAGGAACTGAAAGATATAGTGAGATAAACCAAGAATGGAAAAAGCTCTTTGGTCTGACTGAGAGCAACTGCAGTATCTGTCGGTGAAATCAGAAGCGTTCTACTCAGCTCCGTGCGGCAGCTCGGAGGATTAATCACCATTGGGAAATATTGAGCGCACATCCAGTACGGCGAGATCAACCAGGACCGGAGAGAAATGCGCAGGGGGGAAAGGAAGAAAAGTAACAAGCCGTAGCTTTTGCCGTAGATGCTTGCAGATCAATGCAGAATCCAGTCTCTAGACTGCGACTGTGAGTGCAGCTTTAGCTTCACGGCTTTTTAAATAAATAATACAACGTCTTTAAGATTAGCCATGGTCCATCTCACTCTCCAGCAGAGCATGGAGCAACCTTGTTGTTCTCTGTCTTTCTCTCTTTTTTTGTGTCCCTCCTTCTTTCCTCTTAGTGACTCTGAACTTATGAACTTATGGCCATTAGCAGGGGCAGTGATAGCCTGCTGCAGAGGAAGGTGGGAAATGTGATGAGGAATGATGAAGTACCAGACAAGGATCTGAGGGGTTAACGTCAATGTATGAGCACTGCACATTGTACATGCACTTCGCCCTGCTGCTGCACCTCAGCTCAGTCTCTGTGTTACGAGACGAACATCAATGAACTAACACTGCTGCAATCGAGACAAGACATCGTACCTTTAAAGAAGAGTGATTTTATTCCATCCACATGTAATCACTGGTACATCGACCTGGTCAGTAAATCTTGCTCTTTATTTCCCTTTCCCTGCCTCTGTATGCCTCTCTGTCTCTCTATCTCCCTGCATACTGGCCTCTCACTGTCATAAACAACCACACCTGTTTCCATGGCAGCAGCAGGCAGGCTATATACCGTGCACTGTCTCTGGTGAGTGAGGAGGAGAGGGTGGGAGGGATGTAGGGGAAGAGAGGGAGGGAGGATTATTCGTGCTTCCATCAGCATCAACACAGCAGTGGGAGAGAGGAGAGGGGGAGAGATGCAGGGTCTTCCTGCACAGCACAGGAGGAGAAAGGAGGCGGGACTTCCCCGCGCGCCGTATGAAAATCAACAGGATCCTAGAGCTTGCACATCACATGACTAGGCTGGGGCCTGCTCGGCACGGATCCAGCCGAGTGAGAGGGGCTGTGTCAGCTCAGCGATGATGTCATGATTTATTTTGAGGAAGTGATGTCAGGCCTCTGCAGTGAGGCTGGTGGTGTCTACAGTGGTTCATTGGATGAGCCTGATATCGCTAGTGTCACATCCAGCTGCTGTACAACATGCTTGTGTAAAGAGGGTGGGGTCCTTCATCCTAAAAGATTCTCCATATGGTATGTTTTGTGGAATTATTTACAATCCAAGATGCTTCTTGCTATCCTTTTATACACTTTTTTTTTGCTATATTTCAGCTCAGTAGTTTTTCCTCAGTTCAGAAACCTTGAATGAAAATTTTAACACAATGCTTTGGAGTCACAATACTCCCCTGCAAAAAAATGAAGCTGAAATGATAGAGCTGGAGTCTGGGATGTTTGCAAACAATCTGTCATGCAGAATAGAAAACATCTTGTCATGAAACTGGTGTGGCGTGTTGCTGTCTGGGGTAGCTGGCCATCTGTCAAGCGAGCCGCAACAGCTGAAATGTTAAACAGTAATATTGACTCTTGTTTATGTTTGCACAACTGCTTTGTGAGCAGTACGTGTGTGTGTGTGTGTGTGTGTGTGTGTGTGTGTGTGTGTGTGTGTGTGTGT